AGGAATACGAGAGCTTCTCATCCTTTAGAACTATCTCAGCCTATACATTTCCCATCTTCTGTATAAGCTTTATAACACATATGTTAGTACAAATGTACAGGTAGAGAGTTTATGAGTAATTACATAAGCAATGACTGGAGTCTGTGCTTAAAGGAAAGCATGATTGAAACTCATGGATCCCTGATGTAACAAGAAGTCTGGTCTCTTATACTTAAAACCAGTCTTGGTAGGAAGAGTCTTGGCAGGTGCCTGGGATGTTAAGGTGTGTGTCCCCACACTAAGGTGCAGCTCAGTTAACTCTGGGTCATTTCATTCCAGTCCCACAGACAGAAGGAAATTCTAGTAAAACATTTAGGGAAATGAGGGAGTCAGAAAACATTTAGGGAGGGAGAATGGGCTCTTCCAGGTCACTGGCTCATTCATGGGCAACATCCCAGGATCTAAAAATAGAAGAAGCATCTGCAGTTTGCCTCCTGGAGCTGGGGCTTGGAGAAGCCCCAGGATAGACCCTCACAAACTGGTGGCCTTGATGACCGCACTGGCCTCTCAGGTGACCTCTGCAGACAATGGCCAGGAGCCAAAGCAAGATGCTTCCCAAGCCAGGACCCTCACGGTAAAACTAGAGTACCAGGAATAAACAGGGACATTAGCTCTATAACCAGAAAGCTGGCACTTGCTGCTTAGTCTGGAAACTGGCAACAGTGTAGGGAAAGGAAAGAAGTCTGGAAGAGAAGTTCAGAAATCAGATCAAGGCTACACACTGTATGATTCCAACAGCAGAATGTTCTGGAAAGGACAAAACTATGAAGATGGTAAAAAAAAAATCAGTGGTTGTCAGAAGTTGGGGTGGGGAAGGACGGATAGGCAGAGCATAGAGGACTTTTTAGGGCAGTGAAAATGCTCCGCATGATACTATAATGATAGATATTGTCATTATACATTTGTCCAAACCCACAGAACGTACAACACCGATTGTGATATATCAGCGTAGGTTTATCAACTGTAACAAAGTGACTCTCTGGTCAGGGATGTTGATAATGGTGGAGGCAGTATATGGGAAATCTCTACACCTTGCCCTCAATTTTGCTGTGAACCAAAAACTGCTCTAAAAAACAAAGTCCTAAAAAGATTAAAACCCCTGTAGTCCTGAATTTGAATTGGATGTATCAGTATTAACTAATGATCTGTTTTTTAAATATATATTTTCTAGCTTTGCCCACTGAAAAGACCTAAAAACAATGGCTAAACCTATAGCAATGAGCAACTCTAGCACTAATTATGAACTTTATAATCATTTCCCACTAAAATGAGCCAGGGCTCCAAGGAGAAATGGCTGATGTTAGGTCTTAGACAGGAAATTTGCAATAGGAGCTTAGAAGATCTTATCCTACCAGAAACCTATCAAAGACAACTGAGGCCACATCTAGAACACACAGGAACCAACTTGAAGAGGCTCCTATGGGCCAAATATTGAACAGTCCAAGCATCAATAAGAAGATCTATAATTATTGGGGCACCTGGGTGGCTCAGTCAGTTGAGTGTCCGACTTTGGCTCAGGTCATGATCTCACGGTTCGTGGGTTCGAGCCCTGCATCGGGCTCTGTGCTGACAGCCAACCCAGAGCCTGGAGCCTGTCTTCAGATTCTATGTCTCCCTCTCTCTGACTGCCCCCTGCTCATGCTGTCTCTATCTCTCTCTCAAAAATAAATAAAACATTAAAAAAAATTTTAATTAATAAAATAAAAATAAAGGTAGAAAATGAGAGAAAAACCAGTAATTTCACCATTCTAATTGAATAATTTCAATCATTCTAATATTAATGATTTCTTGTACTTCCTTCGGGGGTTTTTCATCCTGTTTACTTAACATTTTATTCATTCAGCAAGTGGCTGTATCTGGCAATAAATATTTGTTGAGTAAATGAATGAATTATATTTTTATGCTGCTACATGGTCTGTGCACCCATCCTCTTTAACAGCTGCATAACACTTCAAGTGGATTATATAATTTACTCAAGTTTACTATAGCAGTTGAGAGCTCAGGCTATGAAGGCTGACCTAAGTTCTGATCTCAACATGTATCTTAATAGGTACATGACCTTGTGCAAGATCCTTAAACTCATTAAATGTTACTTCTCCACTTTCTAAAATCAGCATAATAGTATTTGATGCAAAAGTTTGCTGTAAGGAGAAAATGAGCTAATAGATATAAAGCACTGAGCCCTGAGCTGAATAGCGAGGAAGCACTCAATCAAATTTATCTATTATTGATAAAAATTGTTTCCTTATTCTTTCTTATTAATAACACCTAGGTGAATATCTATATGACTGCAATTTCCCCCAAGTTCTGGATTATTACCTGAGGCTAGAATCCTTAAAAGAAACGACTTGCTCAAACAAAATAAATGAACACTTCTATGGCTCTTGTCACACTTGCCAAATTGCCCTCCCAAAGGATTGCGCCAATTTTCAATGCCCATGTTTCACCACCCTTGCCAACAGTGGGTATTATTATTTTAATGTTATAAATTAATAGAAGTCATCTTTATCTTAGGACATCTGTTTCCTGAACACTATCAGATTCATAAGAACAGTTGATTTGCATGCAGTCAATATCACTGGATTTTGGGGGTGGGTTTTTTTGCTTCTATTTCCTTTTGGCATGGGTGATTGGGTACACTGGGGTGGCCGGCTGTGAGAGCAAAGCCAGAAGGAAGAATAGGTTTAGGAAGAAGCTCATAAGTTTTGATTTAGACAAGTGGGATTTGAGGCACCTGTGGGATTTCTAGATGGAACTGTTCAGGAGAGACTTGGATATACAGTTCTAGAGCTCAGGAGAGAGAGATCTGAGCTAAGGCTCTAAATTCTGAAGGTACGGCCAATAACTGTGGAAGCCACATGTATAGATGAGATGGCCTAGGACGTACATTTAGACTGAAGAGAAGCAGATGATAGAGCAAACACTTAACATTTGTGACAAACACTTTTATTAAGTGTTTGCAGAATTTCAGATGGCAAACAGTTATCTTAAGAATTGAAGATGAGGGGTGCCAAGGTGACTCAGGCGGTTAAGCCACCGACTCTTGACTTTGGCTGAAATCATGATCTCACCATTTATGGAATCAATCCCCAGGTCTGGCTCTGTGCTGACAGCCCAGAGCCTGGAGCCTGCTTCAAATTCTGTGTCTCTCTCTTTCTCTGCTCCTCCCCTGCTCACACTCTGTCTCTCTGTGTCTCAAAAATAAACACTAAAAATTTTTTACAATAAAAAATAAAAATTTTTAAATGATTTTTTAAAAATTGGACAAGTAGATTATAAAACCCAGAAGGGTTAGCATATGGAATCATCCTGCAGACAAAGGAGTAAGCTTATCTCATGTGGTCCCAGAGAGAGGGGACTCCAGTGACTGCGCCCAGAGACACAGAGGTCAGTCAAATACAGCGCATGCAAGATAAATGTGACTCCCAGGCTGAAAGAGACAAAGCACAAAGGTTCTGGATGCTTCAGTTGAAATCTGTTCCAGAACTCAAGATGGAATCCTGGGTTCCGGTGATGAGAGAAGTCAAGCCAGTTGCCTAAATCTGAAAGGGCCAGGCAACACCGGGCTCAGGCACGTGGTGGGTTTTGTTTTTTAATCTAGGGCCAGACCAGAAATTCTGCAAGCCAGCCACACGATTGCTTCGCTGACACCAAAAGGGAGGGGAGAGCAATGACCTCCTCTTGTTCACTCCCAGCTCTGTGCCAGAGACTCACCTAAGACTTCCCTTTAAACCTCGCGTCACTGGACGCAGGTGTTGTTCATGGTTCTCCATGGCTCTCCATGGAGGAGGAATCAGAGACGTGGAGCATTCAATGACTCACTCAGCTTCACAAAGCCAACAAATGACGGCGCCAGGATTTGCACCCACTTCTTACTAACTCCAGAGCACTTATTTTTATATGTCAGGTGATGCTGTATCTCTGTTAGCATGCCCATATGTACTAACATTGAACATGACGCAAAAGTGAGTCAGGATAATGCCCTGTTTCATGTGCTACTTCGGTGCCTCCCTGCTCAGCATTCTCCTCAGACCAGCACTATGGGCATGACCCAGAAGCTTGCTAACAACGCAGGACCTAGACCCGACTAAACTGGGATCCACAATTGGACAAGGCACCCAGGTGTGTCCTATGCACACTGAAGTTAGAGAACAACTTTGGTGTGTTTAGACCTGAAGAGCTCAAAATGACATAACTGATTCAGTCAACTGTAAACAACTAAATGTTAATTTATTCATTGATCCAAATCTCTTAGCATAAATGTTGTACCCTACTGTTCTTCCTGTTCGTGAGTTTTGTGTTAGCTAATTAAATTGTTTTTTAAGTTTGCAAAAACCTATAGGTAGACCTCATCTGGGCCCATGGGCTGCAGACCAGAGAGGCAATTCAGGGTTCTGGACTTCTGTTTGAATTTCCAGGGAATTCTATCTTCTAATGAAGACTCAGAAAGTGAAACCTTCCCACCCTAGTTCCCAAGGCTTCCAGATTCTCTGAGGATGAATGTAGCAGCCCCATTTTATTTTATTTTATTTTATTTTTTTGCATTTAAAAAAATTTAAATCCAAGTCAGTTAATGTATAAAGTAATAATGATTCCAGGAATAGCATGTAGTGATTCATCACTTACATATAACACCCACTACTCATCCCAACAAGTGTCCTTCACTAAATGCCCATCACCCATTTAGCCCATCCCACCACCCATAATCCCTCCAGCAACCCTCTGTATTTAACAGTCTCTTATGGTTTGTCTCCCTCTCTGTTTTTATCTAATTTTAACTCCTCTTTCTCTATGTTCATCTGTTTTGTTTCTTAAATTCCACATATGAGTGAAATCATATGATATTTGTCTTTCTCTAACAAGAGAATGGCAAGATTTCTTTCTTTTTAATTCTTTAATTCTTTAATTCTTTCTTTCTTTTTAATTGCTGAGTAAGACTCCATTGTATATATGTGCCGCATCTTCTTTATCATCCGTCGGTGGACATTTGAGCTCTCTCCATACTTTAGCCATTGTCGATAGTGCGTGGCAGCCCATTTTAGAAGCTGGTGGGCCTCACTCAAATCTGTGAGTGTCTTACCATTTCCCAGACCCTTGTCATAGAGTTGGTCAAGTGACAGAGTTCTGGTCAAGAGGATATGGGAGAAAGTGATGTGTGCCACTTGCAGGGCCCCAGCAAATCCCACACCAAGTTCCATCGGAGAGCCTGTCAGAACCACAAAAGAAAAGGAGCCTCCGTGGGCCTCTGAGTCATCACGTGGAGGGAGATGTCCGATAACACCACCCAACCCCAGCGACGTAAAATTTTATGTTGAAGAGCCACTGAGATTTGAGGGTTGTTATAACGGCTAGTGCTACTTACGGCGGCTGGAGAACGCTACTAACATATTGTGCAGCTGGAATCCAGCCCAGGAAGGCAAAAAGGTGAGATTTTCTGAACATTTGAGACAAGAGGAAGTAGAAGTAATTGCTTATATAGTAGTCAGGGTTACTCTAACACACAGAATGGCCTTTTGCCAGAAAATAATATTTAAAGTCATACTATGTGTATAAACTAGTTTCATCACTGGTAAATTAAAGTTCTGGATGACAGTAGAGAAGCAAATCACATCTAAATTTACAGAATTGTCAGTGTACCACAATTATTATTTGCAAGGATTGGGGGAGCAGTAATATATTCAGTATTTAGACATTTCCTGAAACAGCCAAAGATTCTTTTTTTCATAAAAGCTGATTATGTATATGTTGTTAGAATTAATGGGCCTATCTTATATACTTAACTGGATATGACTGTGCTAAGTTAGAAATCTTCTCTCAAGTGGAATATAAAGTAAAAAGCAACCATTTCTTAAAATTGCAGAAAGTGCATATAAAAGATACTTTTGAGAGTTGGATATTGAACATTACAAAACTCATAATTACGTAGAAAGAAATTTATTTCTAAGAAAAGAAACTAAATAAATATTAGAAATGCTTATGTTATATGAAACTAGAGCAAGCATCTATGTCCAAATTCACTTGATTTTTATCAACACTGACATTATGTTGAAGGCAATCTGTTAATGTTTCAGTAAGAGTCAACATATTAAGTGGATGTCAAAATTGTTTAGCTATTTTTACAATACTTTAAAAATTTTTAATTAGTTTTGAGAAAGAGAGAGAGAGAGGGAGGGAGAGAGAGGGAAGGTAGAGAAAGAGGGAGACACAGAATTCGAAACAGGCTTCAGGCTCCGAGTTGTCAGCACAGAGCCTGACGTGACGCTCAAGCACACAAACCACAAGATCATGACCTGAGCCGAAGTCGGACACTTAACCAACGGAGCCACCCAGCTGCCCCTGTTTGTGCAGTAATTTTAAAACAAAAACAGGTTTGCTATCATTTGTTAGTTTTTAATAAACCTGCAGGCTCAGTGGAGCCCCCTTCAGGAGGGCCTAGGATGAGCAGTTTGGGTTGGACTGACTTTTTAGGACCAGGAATGACAGACAGCAAAAGTATTTTTGGAGGATAAATCTTTGATTGAGTGCAGGGTAGGTGTGTATCAGGAAAAAAATCAGTCCTTTCCTCCTGAGTAGGTTAAAAACCCATTCCGCCCTCCTGTGCGTCTCCTTTGCACTCACACAACTACCATACTTACAACACTCCTGACACTAGATTGGCAGGGGGAGGGGGAGATGAGAGTAGGTTCCCACCAAGCAATTCTCTGTACATCCGTTGGGTGTCCTACAATTTAGGTCACTTCTGACACTACCCACCTGGAGAGCACATCAGATCCCACAGGTTAAGGGCTCAGTCCCACAAGCCTGTCCCCACCCCACTCCAGATGCCCGTCATAAGCTCAGGCTGTCATGTGTGCTTCCAATGGATCAGCTATAAATCAGAGATTTCCGGGACTCCTCCTCCTCAGATTCAACTCATTTTCTAGAGCGGCTCACAGAACTCAGAGAAACACTTCCTTACATTTTACCACTTTCTTAAAGGATATGACAAAGGACACGGGTAAACAGCCAGACAAAGAGATACACAGGGGTCTGGGAGGTCCTGAGCACAGAAGCTTCTGCCCCTATGGAGTTGGGGTGCCTCCCCTCCCAGCACATGGATGTGTTCACCAACATGGAGGCTCCCTGAACCCCACTAGGATTCAGGGGCTGCTATGGAGGCTTCCTCACACAGGCATGATCCACTGTCACCTCCATTCCCAGCCCCTCTCCCCTCTCTAGAGAATGGAAGACAGAGCTGAAAATTCCAAGCTTCTAATCACGGCTTGCCCTTTCTGGTGACCAGCCCCTATCCAGAAGCCCTTGTTAGAGCCACCTCATTAGAGCAAAAGATGTTCCTAGGTTTCTTATTGCTTAGGAATTCATGTGGGGGGCTCTATGTCAGGAACCAGGGGCACAGATCAACATGTACATTTTCTTTGATCTCACAGTAGATGGCATGGGAAAGAAAGTGGAGGTGTCACTAAGGCCAGTTTCAGAGATGGACAAGGATTCAGAGAGTGTGAGGACGGAACAATAGCAGTGGAATTAAAGAAAGGCAGGAAAGATGCTGGAAGAAAGACAACAGGAGAGAGGTAAAGAAGGAGACAAGATAGTAAAGTCTCAAACCTGGGGTCCAGGGAGAAGGACAGGGTGTTGCTAGGGGCCGCCGAAGACGAAGGAAGGTGACAATGATGAGGTGCTTTGTTCATAAAGGCTGGGCCAGCAGAGAGGTCGTTTGGGTTGGGAAGCTGTGTTTCCATCGGCGGGGAAGCAGGAACGTGAGGGGCATGTCTGTAACACAAGCGCCTAGGCCAGCCCGAGAGAAGCTTCCTGGAGACTCCTGGAAAGTGTCCAGGAAAGAACACCTGGCATCAGGCGGAGGGGCCTCTGAATCCTGGCTCCGCCCTTGGGAGCTGTGTGAGCTTTGCCGATCTACTTAACCTTTCTGGACTTGCGTTCCCTCCTCCATAAAAATAGGTCACTAAACTGGATCCATTCTCTTTCCTTGGCCTGTAAAACTATTTCCCAAACTCATCTCAGATATAGCAATTCCCAGGGTCACAGGGGAAATCATTTCTTCATCCCCTGTGCGTTGGCCCGGGTAAAATATTGTTTACATCTGTGGTTCTTGAATGCTCTGTACGCACCCAAATCATCTATGGAATGTTTTTAAAACACAGATTCCTGAGCTCTCATCCAAGAACTTCTGACTCAGTACTTCTGGGCTAGGATCTGCCAATATCTTTCCAATCAAGAACCACTAATCTATATTAAAAACTGCAGTGGTGATTGAACGGAATGATGGTTACCAACCCACATAGCCCAGGTCCTGGCATCCAGTGTTTGCTTAAAAAGTGGCTCTGGTGGTGATGGCGAGGTGGTGATGGTGGGGAGTGGAGCGGGGGTGGGGGGCAGTGATGGGTGATGGTGACAGAAGGTGGGCGGTGCCCCTGGAAGAGGGGAGTGATGCAGTGCCTGATGAGTGGTGGGAGCCAGGTCCTAGAGGTCCCTAACTCAGCAAGAAGATTTAGATAATCTCAGGTAGAGCATGAGGCAGAAAATGGGAAGTTTCCATTGGGAACATGCATCCCTTCTGGCCTCCATCAGGGATTTCTTCCTGGACAGAATGAAAGAAGCAGCAGCTCTTAAGAAACCACATTCGCCCGTCTTCAGAGGGCAAAAATAAAGTCTATGAACCGAACCTATGAACAGCAGAACTGTACTATAACTTGCAAAGGAAATCAATTGTATGCAACACAACCTAAGATCAAAATAATGTAACACTAGCTCCTACAGATCCATGTTCTCTGTAAGATCATGACAATGATTTAACAGTAATTCCATATGAACTCAGGTTCTAGAGACAAGACCACTGACAATTCGCTTGTTTGCAAATTCTGACCAACCCCTGTCCAGATCTCACTTACCAACTTCTCCCCTAAAACCACCCTATCACAAGAGCCCACTAATCTCCCCCTTTTCAGCCACTACTGAGACCATCTCTCAGCATGTAGAATCAGCCCCGTTTTGCAAAATCACTGCATTTCCCAGGGGCCTTTGTAAGGGGACTTTGACAAGGAAGGCAGGGTCCCACGGCCCTGTGCTCTTAGAATGTCAGCCCATTTTACTGAAACAGCCGTCCAGCATCTGGACCCACTGAATACGGAAAATAGCTCACTGGGGAACAAAACACTTTGAAGAATTCAGTGGGTCACTCCCATCAGATTCAACATTTGGGGATGTGGAAATGAATCCTTAAAGTTAGATTTATTACAGCCTTTTTACATTCATTTTGAAAAGGGATCTGGGGCCTGGAGGTGCCATCAACAGGACACTTACCTTCCCACACTCGGAGCTCTCTGAGCACTTCTTGGAGAGAAAAATGACCAGTGGGAAAGTGGGGGCCACTTAATTATGCCTGCAAAGGCCATTTTTCCAGCTAAGGTCAAATTCATGGGCTCCAGGGATCAGAACATGGACATGTCTCCGGGGGGAGGGGGGTGAACCATTCGACCCCCTAAGCCTCTTGACATATATTATGAAAATAAGAGATGGGCTTTATGTCATCTGTATAAACCTAGTTATAAATGTATTCCTTTGGGCCCATCTTGAGAAGTCATTTTATTCTTCCCTGCAAAGTTCCTTAACTTTCCAAGTGACACCAGCAAAAAGGTGTCTTTATCTTTTCTAGAAAACCCCAGAACTTAAGAAGCTTGGATACTGACGGGAAACAACATACTTCCTCCTCCTGAAAGCCTTGTTCCCCTCCACCTGCCCGGCCGTTCTCCACCCAACCTCACGCTACTCTTTGAGGCTTCTTCGAACCCACCCCTCATCCACCCTCCTCACAACCCCTCAGAGATTTGGTCAGCTTTCTGTTGCCCTTCGCTACATAGTTGTGTGACTTCTTGCCGCTCATGTCCACTCTCCAGTCCCGTTTCCTCCTCGGTAAGGGGAGGGGGGAGAGGCAGACGGTTGGATCTTGAAGGTCTCTAAATTCGAACCAGAGTTGAAGTTGTTCAGCCCAGAAACCACAGCCTGTCTTGTAAGACCCCCCATTCAGCCTCACTCAGGGACACCTCATCTTCTCCTCTCACTCCAAGCCCACGGGTCCTGTTCTCCTGCCCTGAAAGGACTCTCTAAAGGCTGGACTTACTCTCTTCCCTGCCTCTTGGACATCTGTGCCTCCAGTCAGGACTCCTCACTTCTTACGCCCACCCCTCTAAA